GCTGGGAGCCAGGACTCCTGGGTTCTCTCCCCAGCTCTGGGAGGGGAGTGGGGGCTGGTGGGTTAGAGCAGGGGGGCTGGGAGCCAGGACTCTTGGGTTCTCTCCCTGGCTCTGGGAGGGGAGTGGGGGCTGGTGGTTAGAGCGGGGGGGCTGGGAGCCAGGACTCCTGGGTTCTCTCCCCTGGTTCCCAGGGCTCTTGCGCCCTCTAGTGGCAGAAGGGGGTAAATCTCTCCCTGCCCTGTGGGTCCGGGCTCCTCTCTCCTGCTCTGTCACTAGCCCCCAGCTGGCACTTATGGGCCAGAGCCCGAGTCTCCCCCCTGCCCCCGCTGGGGCAGGACTGTTCCCTACAAATCTTCAGCCTCAGTTTCCCCTGCACGAGCTCAGCTCTTTCAGGCTGGGAGATGCTCCAGTTGTACCCACCCAGTTCCTGGGGGGCCCCCCCCTTCAACCCTCCCCAGCCCTGTCCCCGATTTACAATTCCTCTGCCCCGCCCCCACTGCTTTGTGTGGGATAATACCCCCACACTGAGGCCAGGGGGTCACCGGGGAGCAACTCCCCACACACGCCGCGTAGCAGTAGTTGGGCCTTTACCTAGCAGCTGCTGGCGCGGGGACAGGCTGGGCTGGAGCCCCGGGCCTGGGTTGTGGCGGGGGAGCTGCCGGGAGTTAAAGACGCCCCAGCGGGGGGGGAGATAACGGAGACCCACAAACAACACAGTGGCCCCGAATCCGATTTTCTTCCAACCTTTTATTTGAACATCACAAAAGAGCAGCGAATAGAAACGAGGCCCAAGAGCTGCGGTGGGGGAGGGGGGAATTTGGGGCAGTTCAGGGTTTGTTTCCCCCCCCCACACACACACACAGAGGGGTCACTTCTCAACAACCCTCCTGTCACGGACTCACAGGTCGTGCCCACTCTTGGCCCCGTGCGGTCTGTGGGGGGTGCCCCTTTCAGTGCGACAGCCCTTCTCGGGGGTCCCCTCTCTCCATCTCCTGGAGCCGCACCTCTCTGAGCCTTAGCACGTCTGTCTCTGCCGTGGGCCCCCTCAGGGAGTCCCCTTGCTCGAGACCCCCCGGGGCCTCCCCCCCCCCTGTTCTCTAGCCCGGAGTGACTCTCAGCCAGCATAAAACAGGAGTTTTATTGAGCGACTGAACCTAGCACAGGAAACTCTCCGGCCTCAGGCCTGGCCTCCTTCAGCCCAGCACATCCCAGTCTCTCTGCATCCAGGGGGGCTCTGCCTGCTCCCCCTCTCCAGCCCAGAGCCCCCTTGCTTCCCTGCTGGGCATCTGAGATCACCGGCCCCAAGCCCCGCCTCTGTCCATTGTCTTCTCTCCAGGTAAACAGGGTCGTAAACTGGGGCCTCCTCTCCTCGCTTCCGTCCTCTGGCTGGAACCGGCTGGTTAGGTCACTGGGTCCTCACTCTGCAGCCCATTGTCCGCCCACTGGCCAGAACCGGCTGCGTCTCCTCAGCTGGGCCTGTGGGTCACCAGGTCACCGGTCACTGGGGTATCCATCCTCCCGGCCATCGGCTGGGTCCCCGCGTCCTCTCTCCGGTCCTCTGCAAAACACACTCCCTCTCCCCTCACCTCGTTAAACCAGTAACCCCCAGGGAAACTGAGCCCCACCCCCTCCGCATGCAAACCATTGAAACCCCACAAAAAACAAGAACCCCCCCCCCCCACTTCATCACATCTCTCCCCCCTTCGAGGCTGAACGGAGCAGGGTCACTTAGCCAGTGACCTGGGGAAGTTCAGGGTCCCCGCCCCGCGATAAAGCATCCGCTATAACATTGGCGCTCCCCCTCACATGGACCACCTCCATGTCATACCCCTGGAGGAGCAGGGCCCACCTCAGCAGCTTGGCATTAGCCCCTTTCATTTGGTGCAGCCACGTCAGGGGCGAATGGTCGGTGTACACGGTGAAGCGCCGCCCAAATAGATACGGCTGCAGTTTGTTAAGGGCCCACACCATGGCCAGGCATTGCTTCTCTATGGCCACATAGTGCTGCTCCCGGGGCAGCAGCTTCTTGCTCAGGTACACAATGGGGTATCTCTCCCCCTTAGTATCAGTTTGCATCAGTACCGCCCCCAGCCCTGTGTCCGAGGCGTCGGTGAACACCAGGAAGGGTTTGTTAAAATCCGGGTTTACCAGCACCAGGCCCTGGATAAGTGCCCCCTTCAGCGCACAGAGAGCCCTCTGGCACTGCTCGGTCCAGACCACCTTGTCCGGCTTTCCCTTTCGACACAGCTCCGTGAGGGGAGCTGCCAGGGAGCTAAAGTGGGGCACAAACCTCCAGTAGTACCCCGCCATCCCAATGAAAGCCTGGACCTGCTTCTTAGTCTGGGGGGCGGGCCAGGCCTTGATTGCCTCCGCTTTGGCCGGCGCCGGCTTCAGGTGGCCACTCCCAACCTTGTGGCCCAGGTATAAAATCTCTGCCGTCCCCACCTTGCACTTTTCAGCTTTTATGGTCAGTCCTGCATCCTGGAGGTGACCCAGCACCCTCTTCACCTGGGACACATGTTCCTCCCAGGTCTGGCTAAAGACACAGATATCGTCAATATACGCTAGTGCAAAGCCCTCCATCCCCCTTAGTAACTGATCCACCAGGCGCTGGAAGGTGGCAGGTGCCCCCTTGAGGCCGAAAGGCAGGACCAGGAACTCGAAGAGCCCTGTTGGGGTGGTGAAGGCAGACTTCGCCCTGGCCTCCGGGTCCAAAGGCACCTGCCAGTCGCCTTTGGTAAGATCCATGGTAGTGAGGTACCGGGCGCCCCCCAACTTGTCGAGGATCTCATCGGTCCTAGGCATGGGGTAGGCATCGGACACGGTAATGGCATTGAGCTTCCGATAGTCCACACAGAACCGGATCGACCCGTCCTTCTTGGGGACCAGCACCACGGGCGAGGCCCAGGGGCTGGCGGACGGCTGGATCCCCCCTAAAGCCAGCATGTCCCCGACCTCTCTCTCCAGGTCCTGGGCTGTTTTCCCAGTGACCCTGAATGGGGAACACCTGATGGGAGGGTTGGTTCCCGTCTCCACCTGGTGGACAGCCAGGTTAGTGAGCCCAGGCCGGCTGGACAACAGCTGCCGGTATGAATGCAGCACGGCTCTGATCTCTGCCTGCTGG